GTTATACAATCCCTCCCCCAAGTCCACTCCACTATGCAGCCTTCATTCTGGACTCCTGTCATGACAATAATACCTAATCATATATTCCTTTTAAACAGTTCTCTCCCTCATCTGTTTCAATACAGTATACATAATTTATCCCATCTTTCTCAGTCTTCCCCCAACCCCGATGTCAGACCTGTTTTACAACAGTGGCACTATGCAGTATTTGTCCTTTCGTGACTGAGATATTTTATTCATAATGTCCTCCAGGGTCACCCATTTTGTATAATATTTCATGAGTTCCTTGGTTTTCAATGCAGTGTAGTATTCCATTGTGTGAATATACCACAGCTTCTCTATCCATTTGTTTGTTGATGGGCACATAGGTTGTTTCCACTTTTTGCTATTGTGAACAAAGCCACAATAAACATGGGTGTGTATATATCTGCTTGGGTGGTGGTTATGGTTTCTTTGGGGTATATTCCCAGTAATGGAATTGCTGGGTCAAATTGTATTTCTATTTGCAACTTTTTGAGAAAGCATCATAGTGGTTGCACCATTTTACACTCCCACCAACAGTAAAAGGGTTCCAGTTTCTCCACAACCTCGCCAGCATTTGTTGTTTGTTGTTCTGTTAAATTTTGCTTATCTTACTGGGGTGAGATGATATCTCGTAGTTGTTTTGATTTGCATCTCTCTTAGAGCTAGGGATTTTGAACCTTTCTTTATGTATTTGTTCACCATTTGAATGTCTTCTTTGGTGAAGTGTCTGTTCATATCCTGTGCCCATTTTTCAATTGGATTGTTTACCTTTATCTTGTTGTGGTGAGTCTGTGACATCTTACACTCTTTTTTATATTCTCTTATGCCTTTCTTCCCTCTCTCTTGCCCCAGAACTCCAAGGGAAGAACCCTGGGGAAGAAAAATGGGTTATGAGTTGCTTATGGACAGGCCAACTGGCAAAAAAAGCCACAGGAAGGTCTGGCTGACAAGAAGTCAGTCTTATTCCAGCAGCATTCAAAACCAATTCCTGCCAATCACGCATGAGTGGGCTTGGACGCCAGCAGACCCTCCCCTAGCGGAGCCTCACTGGAGACCATAGCTTCCGTCTCCTGGGGGACCTCGAGGCAGAGGCACCCCAATGGATGATACACAGAGTCCAAGTCCACAAAAAACACTGGATGTCAATCTGCTAAATTTTGGGGGTAATGTCACAGGACATTAGATGATGGATACAGTCGTTCCTCTTGTCTCCTAATCTCACTCCAGCCACGTGGGCCGACTCACTCCTGGTGCCATTCTGCACCAGCTGTGCCAAGACGGGCTGAAAACATGTCACCTCAGTGGAGCCACCTCAGTGCTTTGCTTTATAATCTCTCTAGAACTTCCTCTTTTCTTGCACATGTTTATTTTTCCTTCATATTTTTCTGTGAAAACCTCTAGACTTTGAGATTCTGAAGAGCCCAGCTTTGATCATTTTTAGCATCTCACCCAAAGAGAACACTCAAGCCGCATCAGAATGAATGATTGCTAACACCTACGAGATCCCTCCTGACTCTGCTGACCAGCTTAGGTTGTGGAGATGGATGTAGATAAAAGAGGCTTCAAATCGAGTCCAAATCTGAACCAGGAGGACCAGAGAGTGACCTCTGGGTGACTTCTTTGGTTCCTGGAGCTCCAGAAACTTCACAGTGCAGAGGAGGCTGCCACCTCCTGGTGAGTGAGCCTCAACGCAGCCTTCAGGACACAAAGTACCTCGTTTTGTTGTCAACAAGTTCTCTGAGCCATGAGAATGTAAAATAAATGGATGGATGGATGGATGGATGGATGGATGGATGGATGGATGGATGGATGGATGGATGGATGGGACCTAGAGGTCCAGGATGATTGTCAGTGTGAAGGGTATCAGAGGCATCACCACTGCTTTGCCTCCGCTGGCCCTGTAGTGCCCAGTTCACCCACGAAGCATCCTTACCACAGCCAGGGCATTCTTTCCAGCCCCAGCTTGAAGCTTCAGCAAGGACTGGCCTTGATGCTAGACTCCAAATCTATGGCCCAGTGCTTTGTCACACTGTCCTACCCCCAAGTGCCCAAGCTTCTCTCTGATCATAAGTACCTCCAGAAATGAGAAATGGTTTTCCAGGGCCGTCTGAGCACAGTGGGTCACCAGTGGAGGGAACGAAGGCCAACGGGCACTCCTCTGATTTTGTAAGACCCTGGGGACACCTTCTCCAAGCACCCCGATATACAGAGGTGGGAAACTGAGGCCATCTTTTCCGTAGCTCCCTCCACCTTGACATTAAGGGAGGGAAGGACTTATCCTAGTTCCAAGTGCCCAGAGCGGTGACCCCAGGACCACTGAGCTGCCTGAAGCTGCCCTGGGATGGTCCAGACCCAGGAAGATCTCTAGAAACCTTGAGGACGTCCCTACCCATCAGTCTGGCTTCTTTCCCCCTTTTTTTATTCGGTGAGTATGTTGCTAAGAAATGACACTGCCTTGTGGCAGAGCTGCTGTCAAGACTTTTTTTGCCTTGTGCTCACTTCGGCGGCACATCTACTAAAATTGGAATGATTTTGAGAAGATTAGATGGCCCCTGCACAAGAATGACATGCAAATTTGTGAGGCGTTCCATATTCTTCTTCCTGATACCTGAATTTTTATGCAAACCATGTTGTTCTTTTGGAGAAGAAAAATATCTAAATGATAGTAAAACATGAAGTGACATTTTAAAAACCAAATGCTTTTTCCTTCCCATCACGTATGCTGCTCCCGTGTCTGTACTCTCATAGTCTGCACTGTGTGTGTGTGTGTGTGTGTGTGTGTGTAACTGTGCCGGTGTTGTGATGCCAAGAGTAAGATGATCCCAAGTGGGCATGAAAGGGGAGAGTCATCCTTCGCATGATCTTGTTAGACGCTGTCGAGCTGCCTATACCTCATGGTGGCCCCTGCAAACAACAGATCTGAACTTTGCCCTATTCAGAACCATTTTATTTAAGGCAACAAAGAAATCTCCATGAGAGGGACTTAAGAATTGAAATAGCAAATTTAGCACTGTTGATTAGAATCAAACTGCCTCTCAGGTTTCCAGGGCATTAAGGCTTCTCAGACGCAGACCACGAGCAACTGGTGCATCAGAACTGCAGGTGTTTAACCTCTGCACCATCAGGATATCTTTCACGAGGAAGCTTAGGAAGCTGGAAGGTTTTGTCCACGAGGTTCTTCCCCATGCCCAGTGCACACACTGGAGCCCGGCATTCGGAATGCATGTGTGTGATGCACTAAGGCCTTTGTTCCTGTGACTGGTTGCATGACATTGCCCCTAACTCTGCCAGCTGGTTTGTAATTGCTTCTCTCAGGTGCTTTGGGACCCCAAGACCTACTCAGAGGGGTATCCTGGTTCAGGATTGAGTTGATGTGGACAGCTTGGAAATGTGGAAGAATTGTACATTTCCTGTCACTCTGAACTCCTGCCACCAGCAAGGGTCAGCTCAGTAGACAACCAGGGTCAGGGGACGTGGAAGAGGTTATTTAACTAGCAAGTTCAAGAAGAAGACAAAGTCAGGGCAGCTCATTGATCCTTTCTGTAAAGCTCTCTACTTGGCCTTGTTGACAGGACTCTGTGGGTTGAGTTCAGGATGTCTCTGAATGCAGCCCTGACTTATTTATGAGAAAATGAGAGGCAGCCATTTAACTCGTAAGGACACTAGGGTCCCATTAAGTAGCTGTAGGCAACAAAGTAAGTAAATAAAAAAAGGGAGGGGCAATGAGAGGTTTTGACCACCTAAAACAAACTAAAAAAAAATTCATTAAAAGAAAAACACCAAAACCAAGAAATACAACTCTAGTAAATATGCTAGGCCAAGGGTGATGACAGAGAATCCACAAACAGACCAGAGAGGACACAACGAAAATTCAGTTTATGGAAAAAAATATGGGGATGGGGAGAACAAAAGCCTTTTGATTAATTGAATAAATGGATCCTTCCTATCTTTGGGACAAAATCATTCACATGGACCCTCACTGTCCCTTCCTCCCTCTGCTCTTAGAGACTTTCTGGGTTCTTTGGAGAAAGATAAAGGCAGTGTGTGGCCAAGGCTGAGGGAGAAAGGAACGTTGGAGAGGAGATTTGCAAGAGCAGGTGGAAGGAAAAGCAAAGGTGACATGGTGGGAGTGGATACTGGTCCCGGAGTGGGGTCAGGCCCTCGGCGCCCAGGATAGTTCACCGGGGTGCAGGAAGAAAAGGGTGAGGGCATCAATTTTTACAGTGGTTAAATCTTACATCCTGGACCCTCACTCCAAATAAATCACCCTCTTGCAACCTGCCCTGCTCACATCCAGTCCCACACCTTTGCTCTTAGAACCCCTCCCTTCCATTGCTGCCTCTCCCAGCCATGAGGTTCACCAGAACTCTTCACCAACATTAGACAACCCTCACTTACTATGATCATGACCCCTGCCCGTTCCGATCCACCCCTCACCCTCTAGCCTGCATGCCCTACCACATTGTGGTGGCCGGGGTAATGGGTTTCTTTTTCTCATTAGCCATAATGCCCTGAAAGGAAGAAGCTGTGAGGATCTTGCTATGATGGCGTGTCCACTTCATTCTAGCGGAACACATGGTCTGACTCTCCCGATACGAAAACTTTACTGTCTTTTTCTGTGACAAAAAAAAAATAATAATAATATCTCCCTTGTAGTCAATTCGTGTGGTTCTTGACATAACTTCCAAGACTGGCTTCCCACCCTCCACTGTGGAAGAAGGTGTTATTGGGTAAGATTTGTTCAACAGAACTTTTCTTTAGTTTTTGGTCTTTTTTTTTTTTTTCTGCCAAGGGAGTGAAGTAGTCCTGAGAGTCCGCAGTGAGCCCTGGTGAACGAGTCCACAGGTTGCCAGTACTGTCGCCTGTATGTGCTTGTGTTATCCCATCTCACCTCAGGGGATAGCTGCTTGTTGACCTGGGCCTTCCTTCAGGGCAGGTGGCCTGGCCTGACCTTGGAGCAGGCACTGGGGCCAGGGTCAGCCTTCTGAGCATGCCAGCAGAATCTGGGTAAACTCTCGGGAGCTGTACCTTTTCGGTTTTCTGAGCGTGATGAGGCTGGGATTGTTGATCAGAGTCTGCAGCAGGAGCCACCTTGTCCTGGACCGCGCCGAGACTCGGGGACCTAGTGGGTGTGCAAAGATTGTGGTGGAGAATGCTGGAAGAGCATGGCAGGAGCTGAACTGGGACTTTTAGTGACATGGGGAGGGCCACATTGGGATGTGAGGTGGCCTACAGAGCTGTGATTCTGCAGTAACAAAGGCAGTCAAGGTCAATGTAAGACTCAAGGGTGGTTTCCCAGCAGAAAGCAGAGCAGAGTAATGGTGCGGGAGGGACATAGGTACACACTATAGAGTCTTGAGGAGGCAGGAGTTGTGGTAAGAAACAAAGCAAAACAAACACACAAGTGCCATATCTGGAGGGTGCGCCTTGCTTACAGATTGGGACTCCAGGTACATGGGAAATAGAAGACTCAGATAATGGAACTAAGTTCAGATCCAGGGACTAGGTTAAAGCTTATCTAGCAGAACAAGGGCACAGGCTTGAGGGGGGCCCCCACCAGCTGATGGGGAGCTAAGTGTTCTGAGCTCCTCGCATATGTGGGGGGGGGCTAAGGGGGAACAAGGGCAGGGAAGGGGGTAGCTAGGAGTCACAGATGATTTCCTGCTGTCCATGTTACCTGGTGACTGGTTCAGGTACCAGTATCGGATGGCATGCTGCAGCTTCCTCTCCCTGTGGCCTGTTATCAGGATGTGACAAAAACTGACGAGCACAGGGTTGGTGTGATAATGGTCCACAAAGAGCATGCCAATCCATGTGCTGAACCCTGGAAGCCAGAAGAGACCTCAGGCCAGGTAATGATCCGCCCCTGGTCAAATACCCCAAGAGGGCCCTAGGCACGCCTTCTATGACGTATTGCAGTCATTCTGTGGTCAAATAGTGCCTACATCTTTCCTGAGAAACTTTGAGATTGAGGTAATTAAAAGTTGGAAATATTTTGAAAGGTTATGCTCCAATTCTTCTCTTCTGTTTTATGGGAACATGATGCTTAGAAGGCCTAGGACCGCTGTGGTCTTCTCAGAGAGAAGGCACTGAGTGTGTATATTGGACAAATGAATGAATGAATGGACAAGGGCTACAAAAAAAAAAAAAGAAGCGCAAAACTACTCTCTGCTTTCTTGAAATGACCTAGATCCTAGAATCTTCTTAACTAAATTTCTAACTAATGATGTTAGTAATTCTGAAATGCCTTCTTTCTTTGTCTCTACATAAACATTTTGAAGTAGCGTATTCATAATTTTAGGGAGCTCTGGTAGCTAGTGGGTTAAGAATTATGCTACCAACCCAACAGCAGGTGGTTTGAATCCACCAGCTGCTCTGAGGTTTACAGCCCCTGAAAACCAACTGGAGGATCAGCTATAGGTCCATTCCTACTCAACAGCCTAAGTGCACGCATGCACGCATGTGTGTGTGTGTGTGTGTGTGTGTGTGTGTGTGTGTGTACAGAGTGGAAGCCAGTATGTCAGTCTATCTTGTTGACTATCTTCCTCTTCATTCATAATGTGGAGTCCCTGGGAGACTCCAATAGTTAAGTGCTCAGCTATTAACTGAAGGTTGATCGTTTGACGCGACTCTGACATATATCTAATTGTCAGGAATCAAAATTGACAGCAAACTGGTTTGATTTCTGGATTTTAGTCATCTACTGAAGCCCAACAGTTTGGACATTTGACTACTCTCACTGTCTTGAGGTTAGGGCTCAAAGGTCTGTCAAACGTGGAGGATTTCACTGTAGAGAACCTTACAAGCCTGTTCAAGCCCTAAGCTGCACATGTTTCCACGACTCAGCTAGATGGTCTTGACTGGAAGATGTGCTCAGAGCATAAGGGAAGAATATGAACTCGGGATACCCCCCACCTCCAGGCAGCTTCCACACAGTCGGCAAGAACAGCCTTCACCAGTGGCAGGGCCGCCAGGAGAGTCACCTACCCAAGTCTGCTCTCTCGTAGCCATTCTGCATGATGGTTCTGTCGATGCGAGCGATCAGCCAGGTGCCCAGGATGCAGCTGATGAACAGCCTGGAGAGGCACGCGCCCAAGCCCAGCAGCACATTGTAGAAGAACAGGAAGTAGTTGAAGTTGTGGAATGCTTTCCTGCAAACGGAAGCGGGCTCAAGGGCAGTGTCCTTTCAGTAAGACCGAGTGGCCAGGCAGGCAGGCAGACCTCAGTGACACAGCCTGTCTCCTAGCTCCGTGACCTGGTATAGTAAGTGAGCACTGGCCCCAAGGCACTGACGGGAGGCTGGCTCTGACATGGTGGACAGGCACTGAGTAGAGTGCAGGACAAATGTAAGTGGAGACTAATTGTATCATGTGGTGTTGGGGTGTTTGGGCTTTCTGGTATAGAAAATCTTCTATGGTTATAACAGAGGCCAGGGCCTTCCTGCTGTCTATTTCAACAGTAACCTGTCTGTAGTCAGGACTGTTCCATCATCTCTCAACAAAAACTTCCCAAAACACTGCCTGATTGCATGGCTCCCCATTGGGTATGGGTTAAAGTCCAAAGTTCTCATCTTGACTTTGCAGGCCCTCTCTGATCAGGGTCCTTCTGGTCTTGCCACCCTGTCTGTCTCTCTCCCAGGCCCTCAGTCACTGCATGGCACCGTATTGGATTCCTCGCTTTTCTGAGACAGCCCATCCTCTTGCTCTTTCCTATCTCCATCCCATAGTTGCAGCTGCCAACAAGTCTCCTCAGCTCTACCTGCAGAAAGTCTACTCCAACTACCGCCCTCACCTTCAGTGTTCCCTCTGCAATGTCTTCTACTAAAAGGCGGCACAATTTATAACAAACTGTGGCTGACTCTGAGAAGAATGCGAAACCTATACTTGGACCAGGAGGCAGTCGTCAGAACAGAGCAAGGAAACCCTGCATGGTTCAAAGTTGGGAAGAGCGTACGCCAGGGATGTGCTGTCTCCAAACTTTTTCAACCTGTATGCAGAACAGAGTATCCGGGAGGCTGGGCTCTATGAGGAGAAATGTGGGGTCAAGATTGATGGAAGATCTATCAACAATCTGCGATATGCAGATGATACAACCCTGCTTGCTAAAACTGAGGAGGACCTGAAGCGCTTGCTGCAGAGGGTCAAGGACTGCAGCCTCCAATATGGATTGAGGCTCAATGTCAAGAAGACAAAGATTCTCACCACTGGGCCAATTGGCAGCATCAGGATGGATGATGAAGAGATTGAGACTGTTTGCAGCTTCAGTTTGCTTGGCTCCACAGTCAACACTCTCGGCACCAGCAGCCAGGAAATTAGAAGATGTAGTGCCATGGGAAAGTCTGCTGTTAGGGACCTCTCCAAAGTACTGAAGAGCAATGGTGTCTCTTTGGAGACAGGTGTGTCTGATAGAGGCCATGGTCTTTGCTATCACTTGTTATGCATCAGAGAGTTGGACAATGACTAAGGAGGATAGAAGGAGAATTGATGCCTTTGAGCTGTGGTGCTGGAGAGTATTGAGGGTATTGGACTGCTAGGAAAACAAACAGATTCATCCTGGAAAGGGTTACACCAGGTGGCTCCTTGGAGGCAAGGATTCTGAGGCTCCATCTAACATACTCTGGATATGTTGCAAGGAGGGACAGGTCCTTGGAGAGGGACATCATGCTTGGTAGGGTGGAGGGACAGCGTAGAAGGGGAAGGACCCCTATGAGGTGGATTGATTCAGTGATTGGGGTAATCGGGATAGGTGTATCGGAGATGGTGCGATTGGCACAGGACAGAGCAGAGTTTAGGGCTGTAGTACATAGGGTCGCTATGAGTCGCAAGTGACTCGACGGCATATAACAACCACCACCACCACCGTGTAGATAAGTCCTGGCAACCTACTTCCATAAAAAATTACAGCCAAGACAACCCTGTGGAGTAGTCCTGCTCAAACATTCAGGGCCACCAGGAGTCAGAAATGGCAACAGTAGGTTTGGGTTTTGCAGTTTGGGGTTTGTTGTTGTTGTTGTTGTTGTTTGCCTCTTCTCTGCCATCTTAGCCTCTCCCCTTTCATTATTCATAAATCTACTGCAGTCAGTTGGCACTCTCTAGGTCCTAAGTTTGTTTATGTGTCCGTCTTTTCCACCTGAGTCTCTCAAAGGCAGGATGTTGAAATTCTCACTTCCCCCTTCCCCTCAGTGTCCAGGTTGTTTCTCCAATGAGTGAATGACTTTGGATGAGTTAATTAGAAGGATGTCCAGGTGCCAGACCTATTGTTCTAATCACACATTTAATACTTGCCCTTCTCACAGTACTTCTTTAATGGATGCACAGTTATTTGTAGACTGGCGAAATAAATTCACAGAGGCTTAGAAAGGGCATCCTAGGTCACACAGCCAGTAGCTGGGAGGCCCAGGAAGTAAGGCACCAGACCTGGCTTGCTGACCCACTGCACCACGCCCCCACCCAGAGAACCAGTCTGAGAACCTGCAGAAAGTGAGGGGGCGGGACCAGAGAGCGCCAGGTGGAAACCCTGCAGCTCCCCAGGCCCACCGTTCCCCTCACCTGTTGTTGAGAGCCAAGGGCTTCTGCAGGTCAGCTGTGCCCATCTTTGGCTGCAGGAAGAAGCTGGCAGCGATCCACATTTGCAGGAGCATGAGACCCACGACAATGGATAGGGTGAGGCTGAAACACAGGGTAGGACAGTCCTGAACGCGCCCATTGTCCTCAGACAGCCATTCTCATTCTCTCTGGGCCCTTTTTGGATTCCCCAGTGACAGAGAAAAGAGCTACCCACCCCCCACACCAACACAGGTTCTATGCTTTGTACCTTCAAAGCATGTTCACATGCCCATTGTACAGATGAGAAAGCTGAGCTCATGAAGAGGTAACTTTCCCAAGGCCTCGTGGTCAGGTCTCTAGTATGAGCTCACAGACCATGGTTCCAGGATTTAGTTGATGTCCTCTTTGGGGAGTAGTATAAGCTGCATAAGTGGTTTAATGGTTGAAAATCAATAAAAGAAATGGGATTTTTGAAAGTGCCTGAGAAGATTCCAGCTGATTATCTGTCTCCACATCCTGGTTCTTTTCCTTCCTGAGACAAATTGCTTACCTGCTCTGTGCCTGTTTCCTTGCCTGTGAGTGGAAGCCAATATAAGCAAGCACCACTCTTGTTTAGAAGTTGGTGCGTGGCAAATGCTTGATGGCACCAGCGTTCACATTATCTTTCCCATGAGTAACCCATGGCGCAGAGAAGGGAAGCAAACTCGTTATCGTTCCCAAGCCAGAGCTCAGTCTCCTGGGCTCCTTGTGCCACGCTGTCCTGTCTCTCACTTCACCTCACTTTTCCCAGCTGTAAAGCACACTGCCTCCTCTCAGCACAGCTGTGAGGACTCTGGGAAGTGATGGGAGAGCAATCATTGTATAAGTTGGAAGCTTCCCTGCCCAGTGAGTGGCAGAGATGGGGCATTGTTGGTTGGAGCCCATGGTTGGGGAGAGCCCAGCAGGGAAGGGGCACTCTCTGGAGAGTGAGGAGGACAGGGAGCTGACAGCACTTACATGCCGATGCCCATGCCTCGCAGCATCTCCAGGCCCCGCTTGTGGATGATGGGCAGCACCAGGCTGTACATGATCACCATGCCACACAGGCTCTGCACCACGTGGATGACGAGGTAGCCTGTGGGCAGAGGGGTGGTGGTCACTCCGGGCTCTCTGTCCATGATCCGGCCCTGTAAAGAGTCCCCTGCACACTAACTTCTACCTCTCCCTATAATCCCATGCATTAGCCTACCTGTCCTGGCATCTTCCCTTATGGCATTTCTTCTGCCTGGCGTGATGCCCCTTTCTTCTCTGATCAACTGCTCACCCTGCCAGGTTTTGTTTTAACATCAACTCCTCCAGCAAACACCTGGACTCTGCCCTTCCTCCTCTAGGTCACCCCTGCCCTTAGCAATAGGGGCTCCAAGGGCTGCAGACAAGTGGATGATGATCTCTTTGAGTGTGTTTCTCCCTCTGTACTGAAAACCTCTCAGGGTCAGAAACTAGTGGTGCCTCTGACTCCCTCTCCCCTCCCTTCCCAGGGCCAGGTGCCCAGGGGTGTGTGCTGACCGATTGTGTCCATTAAAGGCACTTACCCCACAGGATATAGGCTATTTGCCACCCAGAATACCTTGCTATGGCCACCTGAGTTAGAAAAAGGAAAAATAAGTTACGTCAATGGTGGTGGGGTGAGATTTGGAGAAGGGCTGTAAGAACGGGTGCACAACTTGAAGAGCAGAACCAATGTCACAGAACTGTACATGGAGGAGTGCTGAGAATAGGCTTTGTTAAGTGTCTTTTCACCACAACAAAACGGGAAGTAAAAGTGAAGCAAAGGAAGAAGAAGAAAGGATTTCAGAAAGGAGCAAACCTTTATCTCTAACACACGCCCAGCGTTCCTGGCTCATCCCTTTACTCACCTACCAGCCCAGGGAAGCAGGTGTGGGGACCGTCTGCATTTAACAGAATCAGAAAGCAGGGGTGGAATGGAGAATGGGGCCTGCCCTGGAACGTGCATAGCGGACGGGACTGGCAGTGTGGAGTCTGGACGCCCAGCCTGGCGCTCTGCCCTCAGCACTGCCCTCACCAGGTGCAGGAGAGCAGGGGTGGCTGCTTCCGCAGAGTAGATCAAGGCCTTTGCAGACTCACCACACTCTCCGAGGAAGAAGGATTGTGGAACTTCAAGGGAAGAAAGTTCTTATTTCCTGACCATAGCCTCTTTATATGCTTTCTAGAGAAAAGATGGAAAACGAGGTCATGTAAGGAACAACAGCAACTTAGGCACGATCAGAGGTCAACAAATTGCAAGAGAAGCGTCTGTGTGTGTGGTGGGGGTGACAGCAGGCAGCTCATGTGGCCTGTGTGACTACAGCTGGTGACCACTGGAGACTTCGGATTTCCCTGACGAACCTTAGCCAAGTCACCTCAGTACTGAAGTGGTGATGGGAAGCTCTGGTGGTCTAGTCTAAGGGAGGTGCATGGATAATCCAAAGGCCACACCTCTTGGTGGCTTAAATCCACCAGCTGGACTTTGGGAGAAAGATGGGCAGTCAGCCCTCTACGATTTACAGCCTAGGAAACCCACTGCAGGCTCGGCTGTTGGTTCTGACCTTACAGCAATGAGTGGGAAAGTGGTGATGGTGATTGAATCTGTAGATACGATGATGTGGGGCCTTCATTTACTTTGTCCTCTTATTTCTCTTTCCCTACAGTGAATATGTGATCGTACGTAATAATATTTAAAACCAGAAAATCCATTTTACTGATAGCATAGCCAACACACGGCATTGTTGCTGTTGCTGGGTGCCACCAAATCAATGTTTTCTTCATAGAGATCTCATGTGACAAATAGAACTGTCTCATAGCGTCTCATAGCCTGTAGTCTTTATGGGAGCCAATCACTGGGTCTTTCTCTCACCGAACCCCTGGATGGAATTGAACAGTGAATCTTTCAGTTAATAGCCAAGTACTTAACCACTATACCACGAGGGCTCTTTCACATCAGTATAAGAGAAATGAAAAAAGGGCAACAAATCCTTATAATCTCACCACCCCAACAATTCAGCTGCTCCCCTTTCCCAAGTTCTAGTTCAGTCCTTGGCCCTACATGTAAGTGTTTTGTTTGCAGCATTATATGAATAGCCTCTATTCACATTCACACCTGCTTTTATTGATTATATTTTATCTCCAGCATTTTTCTAATTTGTTTTCTTTCATCATGACCAAAGCATGTAATGGCAGATCTTGACACCACATAGAGAGGCCTGAAGGGCTCTGAAAATAACAAGGTCTCTAGGATCAGAAAGACTTGCTATGCTGTTGATTGCTGGAGAAAGCGGTATCACTGTGTTGAGTGTCTAATTCCTCAGCTGCAAATATGGAGATGACAATACTTATCCCTCAAGGTTATAATCAAAAGAAAAAGAAGATTCTAAGCACAATACCTGGATACCTCATAGTATGAGCTCAGTTAAGCAGGTCTTTCTCCACCTCCCTTTCTTTCTATCAGTAAATGTGGTTATCCCCGGTCCATGCATAGATTTCCTGACCCATATGGTACACCATTCAGGAATTTTTATTAAAGCCCGGTAAACACTGGTGACAGATCAAAGGCTCTTAGAGCCCTCTTACCTGTAACAGACCAAAATGTGGAATAGATAGTTCACACAAGTGAGGCAAGCAGGCAAAATCGTCACCACCCAGACCCCTGAAATAGAAGATGTGATAGGACAGGCCTTAGAACATAGGTGGAGGAATTGCTTTTCAAAAACTTCTCACATCAGAAAGATCTAGCCAGAATAGATACTGTCTAGATATGATAAACATAGAAAATTAATGAAAAGATAAACATTGTGAAAAAGAAATGAGACAGAATTGCTGGGACTGAAAAATACAACAACTGAAAAGAAAAAGTAACAGGCGGAGCTACTATGGAAAATGGCTTGATAGGCCCTTGGAAAGTTCAACAAAGAATTCCTGTATAACCCATCAATCACACTCCTAAGTGTACACCCAAAAGATCTGACAGCTGACTTAAACAGATACTTGATCACTAATGTTTACTGCAGCATTATTCAATAGCAAAAGATGGAAATAATCCAAGTTTCCATCAATAGATTAAAAAAATGGGATATGCACACACTCAAATATTCTTTGCCCATAAAGAAATGTGAAGTTCTGATACTTGCTCCAACATGGATGAATCTTAAAAACAAAGAAATAACAAATGTTATAAGATCTCTCACTTAAGTGAATTACATAGGATAGATAAGTACATAGAGACATAAATTATGAGTGGTTATGACAGAGGAAGAATTGATGCCTTTGAGATGTCGTATGAGAGAGTATTACTGACTATCCCATAGTCAGCCAAAAGAACAAACTTATGTCTCGGAGGAAGTCCAGGAAGACAGCTCCTTAGACGCAATGATCACAAAGCTTTGTCTCATGTACTTTGGGCATGTTGCTAGGATAGGCTATTCCTTGGAGGAGGACATCATGCTTAAAAAGGTGGAGGGTCAGTGAAAGAGAGGAAGACCCTCAAGAAGATGGACTAACACAGTGACCGAGCAATGGACTCAACCATGACAGAGATGATGAGGACGGCACAGAAAGGTCAGAGTTCAGATCTGTTGTTCATAGAGCCCCTATGAGTCAGACTCAACTCAAGGGCTCCCAACAACAACAGGAACTGGCGGAGGGAGAAATGGAGAGTTATTGTTTAACAGGAACGGAGTTTCTGTTTTGGATGATACAAATGTTTGGAAATGGATAATAGTCATTGTTGTACAATACGGCTAATACAATTAGTATCACTAAATGGTATGCTTACAAATGGTTAAAGTAGCTGTGTTTTCTATATATATTTTACCACAATAGAAAAATTTTTAAAATAATTAGGAATAAATTTAATGAAGAAAGTACAATACTAATACACTGAAAACTACAAATATTGTGGAAAGAAGTGAAATAAGGCATAAACTAATAGAGAAACAACCTAAAGAATGGAAGAAAACATTCATAGATCATATATCTGTTAAAAGACTTGTAGGTATAATATATAATGTACTCTTTTAACTTAATAATTAAAAAATCCAATAACCAGTATTGAGAGTTTTACCTTTGGCCACACTGATGAACTCTTTCACGTTAAGAATGATTGGAGTCAGAGGTCCTGTATCATTCATGGAAGTGACATAGTTCTCCAGATAGCCTTCAAATACATCCAGTTCATCCCTCACATACACAAACACGCAGAACTCAATGACAATGAACTGGGGACACAAAGCAAAGGTTTCAAGTGCCACCTGGGTCCAGCTTGATGTGTGAACAACATGCAGATCTCTCACAGGTTCAGAAGTCAGTCTTTCCCAAGCATTTAAAACTTTTCTGAGGCTGATTCTGGACATTAGTTATTCTGAGCTAGAGGATGAGTTTTGAGAGATAAGAGTCACCCCAACACTCTGTTTTTTAACCTCACCTCAAACAAGAACAGGCCTTACAAAATCTCAGGGAACTCTTCAAACTTTAATAACCAGAGGGAAATGAATGACTAACTTTGAGTAAAGGATGGCTTTGAGAACGATTCCAGCCCTTATCTCCCATTGCTCCATATCACACATCTTGACTAACAGTCAAATTGCTGCCTGTAACCATCTGACACTTGCCTGTCCATCATGCCACCGTGCCTTCTATAGCTCCTGCTGCCATCTTTCTCCACCAACTAAAGCTTTTTTATCTCTGAAAGTGGACCTCAAGTTCTGTTAGCTTTTCAATTAAAAATAATTCACTGAATTTACAGAGCATTTCTGCCTTCTCTATTTTCTCTCTTTAAATGGCAGGTTCCTCAAAATGCCTTGCCTCATTTTCTTAGATTATGAGCGTCTCCCAGGCAAGGGTTTAGCTGAATCCTACAGGGGGAATTCTTTTTTGCTAGTAATATTTATTTTGGCAGCCAAAGTGTCCTTGAAATCAAGATGTTGGGGTCAAAGGGTTCTATCTTTTATATAGACAGAAATCCAATTTGACCCAGTTTTTTAGGAACATGCTGCTTGCACTCAAGCTTCCACAAGCCTCTACCACATTCCACATATGAAAAAGAAGATTTTCTCAGGGTTACTTACGAGGTATAGACAAACAAAAGCTAACACAGTGGTTCCAATCATTCTGCTTGGGAATTGAAAGTAGGGATCCCATTCATATATCCTGGTTTGGAACCAAGACTTTTTTCTCTCTCTGTAAATGAACAGACACCAAGGAAAAAAAGTTCTAGTAGGTCAACAAATGTGAAATTTATCTCTAAATAACACACTTTTTGTCCCCAGACATTGTGTATATTTGAAAGAAAAGAATTATTTTCCCCTTGTTTGTGCCATTATTAATTTGGCATTTCTATATGGAGATAAATCTTATCCTTTAAAAAGTGCTGGCTTTTCCATTGATTCATCACGTTACCTTAGATAAGATATTTCCCTTCTCTACACAGGGTATAATTAAAAGACAATTGCATTAGGGAAAGTCTGCTGTCAGAGAACTCTTCAAAGTACTGAAGAGCAATGGTGTCAGTCTGAAGACTAAGGTGTGTCTGATTCAGGCCATAGTCTTTGCAATTACTTGCTTTGCAACAGAAAGCTGGACAATAACTAGGGATTATAGGAGAGCTATGGTGCTGGAGAAGAGTATTGAACATACCATAGACTGCCAGGAAAACAAACAAGTTCATTCTAGAGAGGATGAGACAAGGATGCTCCTTGGAGGCATGGATACTTAAGCTTTCTCTGACATACTTTGGACATGTTGCAAGGAGGGACCAGTTCTTAGAGAGGGACAGCACAGGAGAGGAAGACCCTCAATAAGATGGATTGATTCAGTGACTGGGGTAATGGTGGTAGGTGTGTCAGAGACAATACGATTGGCACAGGATAGAGCAGGGTCTAGGGCTATTGTAAATAGGTTGCTGAGTCGCTGGCACATAACAACATAGTGGTAGACACAGAAATGGTGGCACTTTTCTTCTATCCAAATCTTCTTCTGTTGGTAACAGTACCTACATTTTTCTTTGGTAAATTACCCCCTACAACTTCAATCTACATACCATCGACTGCTAGGAAAACAGATTCATCATAGAGAGGGTTAAACCGGGCGGCTCCTTGGAGGTAAGGATTCTGAGGCTCCATCTAACATTCTTTGGACATGTTGTAAGGAGGGACTGGTCCTTGGAGAGAGACATCATGCTTGGGAGGGTGGAGGGACAGCCCAGGACAGACCCTCTATGAGGTGGATTGATTCTATGACTGGGGTAATTGGGATGGGTGTGTCAGAGACATTGCGATTGGCATAGGACAGATCAGAGTTTAGAGCTCTTGTACATAGGGTCGCTATGAGTCGCAAGCGACTCGACGGCACATAACAACACCTCCTTCAATCTAGGTGGTTTAACGAGACTGACACTACTTTCTGGAACCAATGGTGAACACATGACCCAGCCTTAGCCAATCAGTTTACTCCATTCTCATACCCATCACGACTGGCTGTAGGGTGCTGTGTGATCTAATTTGATACAGTGAAACTCATCCCTGAGTTTGGATAATTGGGACTGTGAAGGCTTTTCTTTCTTCTGAAGTGGAAGCTATGATGGAGGATATAAACTCAGAGGTTCTGAGGGAGAATGTGTGGGATGATCACCTGCCTGTGAGGCTAACAGATAAAAAGAGCTAAAAGGAGATGCAGAGAAATGGAACTAATCTTAAGACTTTAAGCTCCTAAATAAATCCCTGAAACAGAACTTACTGTAGACTTTTCAGTTATGTGACCACATGACCACAAGCTCCTCTTTTTCTTTAAGCCGGCTTAAATTGCATTTCTGTCATTAGTGAACACGAGTGTCATAACTAAGGTAGTGTTCTCCAGTCACCATGATTAGGGTTTGTCAGTATCTGTGCAAAGACTGAGGTTAGAATGAATATAACTGTGACTTACTGCAGTGAGGACTTCCTTAGGAGTTGTTTGACGTGCTCTGCCTGGTGAACCTCCAGGAAAGGCTTTTCTTCCTGTGAGAAATGGAGAGAGGTAAATGTTTGGCTCACAGATTCTGGTTAGTTTTTGTTTCTGAGAGGGGCTATATAGCCACAGATGGTAGGAGTTTGAATAAGAATTGTTCTCATTTTAATCATTCACTTTCGGGAATGTGAGAACAGTACTGACCTACAGCTTATTTTTACAAAACATCTGTGCTCTCATTTTACTTACATAATTACTGATTACACTGGTCATTGCTATGTGGAATCTTTTTTTCCTTAGAGATTTTGGTGTTTCTCACATTTCAAGTTACTATTTGAAAAGGGAAATTGCACTTTCTCTCATTACAGTGCTTTCGGGTTTTTGTAAAGAGAACTCTCATTTTTATTTTTTCAGCAGTTAAAAAAAAACACCTTTAATGGTTTGTTGTGAAATGTTTTCTCCAAGTGCAGTGAGCTTTCTTTCCAGAGTTGTCATCTACTTGGCTACGTATATTTCACTGTATAGACTTTGCCTGCTATCAGACAAAATATTATTTGTTCTGGATGTTGAGTAGAGTCCAAAATATCTGGTTAGAATTCTAGTTGCTTACCTCAGGCAAGTTACACCTCTATCACTTATGCCTTTCATTGCTGAAATGTGAGAATAGTAGTACCTACTTTACAGTTTTATCGTGAGGCTCGTAAATAGGTATAAAATATTTGCACAGTTCCTTCCCAGGAAAAGTGCTCAATAGATACCAGTCCTTACTCATTTGATGAAGGAAGACTTTCCTTTTCTTCAAATGGAGTCTCTAGGTGGTACAGATGATAACTCAGGCAGTTCAAGTCCACTCAGGGGCATCTTGGAAAAAGTGTGCAGGTCGACTTCTGAAAAACTAGCTACCGAAACCCCTGTGGAGCATGATCCTCCCATAACATGGGGTCACCATGGGTCAGAATCCACCTAATGACAATGGGCGTTGGCTTTTAAAAAAATTATTCAAATGCTAGAAAAAGTATCCAAAGTAGTCTTTTCCTTAAACTTTTACATTTGGGAAGAAACTTCTTATGGGTTCCTGGAATTAGTGAAAATATAGTAAGAGCTTGTTTCCATCTTCAAACCTAAAAGGTTTGGAAGCAATGAGCAATCACCACTAGAGCATCTTACTAAGATTGCTTTTATTTGGTTTTAAGTCCTGCATGGTGCACCACTTCCAGATCTGGGCCCTGGAATTCAGAAACGTTCCAGGCTCCCTTCTCAGGGTACACAGGGGTCCTGCACTTCTCCTTCACTTGAAAGTGAATGTGGTCTGGTGGCTTGCTTCAGCCAATGGAATCGGAGTGGTAGCTTTAAACACTAGTGTATGGCACCACGTATCTGTTCCTGTTTCATGTCCATGAGTAATGTTCTGAGTGACAGCTGCTCAATTAGCCTGACACTCAGAGTAAGGAGAACATGAACCTGTACACTCATGATGGTCATATAGTAATAGTGATAAATAAACCCTCACTGTGTAAGGCCACTGAGATTTGTGGTTGTTTGTTACTACAGCAAACTCTTGCCTGTCCTGACTAGGGCATGTTTATTTTGAAAAGCTAACTAAAGGACAAGAAAAGCTATAGGTCAGTAGAACAAACAAATCACATGTTCAAACTCAGTTGACACAGAGACCAAAGCTTGCGGCAATATGTAAAAAATCTAATTCATTGTCATCAAGTTGGAACTGAACCATAACTGACCCTTCAGCAGATTTTTGAGGCTATACATCACGTAAGAACAGATTTCTCATCTTTTTCCTACCGAGCAGCTGTGGATTTCAACTACCTGCCTTTGGATTAGCAACACAAGTCCTTACCCACTAGGCTACGAGAGCTCCCTGTGGCAGGAAGTAACAGACAAAGTTCACACATATCATTGGAAACCCTGGCAAGTTCTGACTTAACAGTGAAGTATGTTTTTGTTGTATGCCAACAAGTCAGAACCGTTTCATAACTGACTCTCCAGCTTTTCGGAGGCACTTAATCACACTAGAGGAGATTGCCCTTCCTTCTCCTGTGATGATATGAGCAACAGAAAAAGGCCAAACTTAACTCCACAATCTAAGCTGTAATTACTTGCTCTAAACCAAAGAGGCTGTCCAGCATGGTAGTAAAGAGCATGTCTAGACAGTCAGCTTTCTGAATTCCAGTTCGGACTGTTCTATGTAGTCTAACAGGTGACATTGTGAAACTCGGCTCACCACTCACTCATTCCAGATTTCTTGTCTTGAATGTGGAAAGTGCTAATTGTACCAACCACACAAGGGTTGATATGGGGATTGAAGCAGGCCATACACACACACAGTGCTCAGTCCTTGTACTCACGCCCTGGGGCTCCCGGCCCAGATGGACCCTCAGAGACTTGACGAACATGTACAGGAAGCGGCCCAGCAGGAAGGCGAGGCACAGCAGCGAGGGCCAGTAGAACACCACGGTCTCATACCTCCCCACAAACTGCCGCCGAACCAAACACAGTGTCAGTATTGGGTGACAATTCATGTCATCAGACAAAATGGTTCAATGGAAAACCAATTTTCTCTATAAGCTTCCACTTGAATCACAACAAGAAGTGAAAAGATAAACAGACCACAGGGCACAGGCTGTGGATGCAGTGGGGTCAGAGCTCCTTGTGGACCTTGGTGAAGCTGTGGACAGGATTCTGCATGTCCAGTCAGCTTCTACCAAGACCCATTGTTTCTGTTCTCTCCCAGGTCTGGCCTCAAATCCCACATCTTCTCTACTTAATAATTACTTGATATAGTTGGACTTCAGTTTCTTCATCTGCAAAATAGGTTTCCCCATCTTGTGGGGCTGCAGTGCACATCAAATGTCTGTGAACAGGCAACTGATGAGCACAAAGGTGTGTGATCATTACAATTCCAGCATCTTCTGTTGGATTTTATTTTTTTGCAGATGAGGAAACTGAGGTTCAAGGAGGGACAGATGTTTATCTGAAGTCACATGGTGATTTTTCTGTGGTGATAGGACCTAGATATCCTGAATACAGCTCACCTGGACTCACCTGCCCATGGGGACACTGTGTGATGTGAAAGATGGTGACAGAAAACCTGAAAAACAAAGACAGAACATGGGGCACTTGGTTTTCCTTCCCAGCACGGTACCAGGAGCAGCCGCTATGAAAGTCGCTCAGGCCCTACCATCTTGAACAACCTTGCCCATGTCTGCCATGTTGGGAGGGCTCGTTGCCAGGACTCAGTGTTCATGTTTGTATCCCCCTTGATTCATCTCACAACCTCTCTGTAAATATGCAGATGATAGAGAAGGAAGGTCCTACAGATCTGAGCCTTCTTTCTCTCCTGGTCCATGTGGGGAGCTGGGAGTCCAGCGAGGGAACAGAGTGAGTCCTGAGTCGCACACAGAAGCATGGGCAGAGCAAGAGCTAAGACCAGGGTCTCCTGACTCTGGCCATGGTTTTCCTGTTTCTAACATCTCCATAAATGTTGTATCCGAGTAATGTGCTTCAGTACATTTTACTCTTGCTTAACACTCATTCCCGGGCACAGTCACACCTGAGTCTGACTCTCCTTGTACCCGGCAACTGAATGATTCCTACCACCCTTCCTGTTCTTGTTAAGAAACTTGCCAGAACCCAAGGAGGTGAACTTAGTCCACCCATAACCCTGAGTGCCTTCTCTTTTAATTTTGTATAAGTCATTTCTGTCTGGGGTGATGACAATAGTAATGGCTGTACAACACTGTGAAGGTACTGAATATCATAGAATTATATACTTAAAAATGGATAAATTATTTACACTTAAAATGCTAAATTTTGTGTTCTATGTTTCACTATAATAAAAATTTTATATTCTATATATATATTTTTTTAAATATGAAACGCTCCACAAATTTGCATGTCATCCTTGTGCTTTGGCCATGCTAATCTCCTCTGTATTGTTCCAATTTTAGTATATGTGCTGCCAAAGCAAGCACATATTCTATATATTTTACAGGCAGTTCTGGTAGGCTAGTGGCAAGAAGCTGTGCTACAATCCCAAAGGCATGTGGTTCGAGGCCACCAGCTGCTCCACAGGAGAAGGATGGGCAATCTCCTACCATGTAATTAACTGCCTCTGGAAACCCATCAGAAGGTCAGCTTTGAGTCAGTTCTGACTCTACGGTACCCAACAACAACATAAATGTTTATCTTCATATATATATAAATGAGATATTTATATATATAAATGTTTATCTTGTGAGAGAGCTCTAGTGCCCTAGTGAGTAAGGGGTTGTGCACCAACCCAAGGGAGGAGGTTCAAATACCCCAGCTGCTTTGTGAGACAAAGATGGACAATCACCTCCTGTTAGACTAAGAGCCTCTAAAGACCCGCTTAGAGGGTGAGCTATGACTTGCTTCCCACTTGACAGCAATAAGTGAATGTTGTTGTTGTTAAGTTGTTAAGTGCTGTTGAGTCGTAGATGACTCATAGCAAGCCTATGAACGAAAGACCTGAACACTTGTATAACTTTCATTGTTTCTCCAAGTTCCTAGGGTTTCCAGAGGCAAGCTATTATGGAAGTGTATGCCACTCCTGCTTCCAAGCTTGTTTTAATCGGGGAGCTCCACCAAATACTGTCCACCATCGGTAACCATTATCACACTGGACATATCAGTGTCACAGTGTTTAGCATCACAGCAACCATGAGTTACCGCTGTACAGCAAATGGACAGACCAGTGCTATACCACTTAGAAGAATGTTTGACCAAAACCAATTTAAACCAGGCCTGAAGGCCACAGATTAAAATCACCCACCTTTGACTTGGTAGCATCACTTTCTATCCACCAGGCCCACAGAGCTCTCTCTATGTTGGTGGTGGTGTTGTTAAGTGCTATCGAGTCAATAAGTGATATATTTTACCACAATAAAAATTAAATGTAAAAGGGAAAAAAATTACTTACATATTTTGGAACTGTAACTATTGATGTGTGGCAACATAGCCATTTCTTATGACCCACCTGCCACTTGACCTTGACTGATTATGGTGGCCCCATGCACTGCCCCATTAAAAAAAATGCTAAATGGGAAGTTGGCTTAGCAAGGGGCTTGGGTACCTAGAAATGAGCTCAGAGGTTGAAGAGTAGACTAGCCTGTGTGTTCATGGTTAACCACCTCTGTGTCAGATTTGAGCCAGGTGCTGAGACCATATGAAGAACAAGAAGTGCTCAGCCTGGTAGAGGCCATGGTGCCCATAGATGGGCGCATATTTATCACTAGACTGTGGAGAGGTGGAAAGATGATCTACACGAGGAATAACAACATATAGACAAAGTCACTAGAATATGATCCTTGAAGCTCTGTCTTGTTTTCTGGTGTAGTCCTTGGTGTGTGTGAGGATATAATAGTTGAGTGGTGTAATTGTTGAGTGAATAAGTGGTTGGATGAATGAATGTAGAGACTTATATGACTGGAGGTGTGTGCTAGAGACGAGGAAGGAATACAAAGACAAGGAAGTCAGATTCGGATGGGTCCTGAATTCCAAGCCAAAGCTAGGTAGACTTTCTTCTGGGCCCCAAGGTAAGCTATGGCAGTGTTGAGGAGAAGCAAACAACTAGGATCACACAGATTTCTTTTTCTAGATTTGTATTTCCTAAGGAAGGCCTTCAGGAGATGCCTTGTGTTGGAGGTGGAGGCAAATGTTGGCCCTTCTTTTCCCTCGAATGCAGGCATAAGAAGGGACTGCACTGAGACCAGTCTCCCTGTCCACCAGGGGCTTCAGGCTCCCCTTCTGGGCAAAGATGTCTTTCTCTTTGAGCTTGAAGGTCACTTCCACCCTTCTTTTGTCAGAGTTCAGTCATGGTCAAAGAGCTGTGAGAGGCAGGCAAAGCCCATCTTACCACATCAGAGAGTAGCTGAAGCCGAGGATGGCACTGACCAGGCGGAACTCCGATGAGAGGCAGGCAAAGAAGGGAAAGTGGGACAAACCCACTTCGATGCCTCCAATCAGAAGCACAAAGGCTGCAGAAGAGAGGGGCAGAGAGGCAGTGAGTTCCCTTCCTCCTGGGCCCAAGGGAGTCCTGAGTGGCTGGAGGCTTCCTGCTCCTTAAACTATCCCAGAATAGAGAAGGAAAACTTCCACAGTGGTTTTATTGCATGAAGAGAATGTTGTTGTTGTTGTTAAGTGCCATTGAGTCACAGGCTCATAGCGACCATATGAAGAGAATACTGCTTAAAAAATCTTACAGACATTGGATTAAAAAAACCCAAACAGTAGATCAGACTCATTTACAAATACTAATTAAAAAATCTTAAAATATCAGCAAAAAGAATCTAAGAATATGATGTTATTGTTGTTGTGTTGTTGTTAGATGCCATTGAGTGTGAGGTGACTCATAGCAAATCTGTTCACGGCAAACCTAAACCTTGCCCAATCCTGTACCGTCCTCACAACCTCCACTGTACTCAAGTTCATTACACGGTCACTGTATCTGTTCATTTCATTGGGAGTCTTCCTCTCCTTTGCTGACCCTCCACCTTTCCAAGCATAGTGTGCTTTTCCCAGCACCACCTCGTCCTAATAACGTATCCAAAGCACACGAGACAGCTTCACCATCTTTGCCTGTAAGAAGCACCTGCTGTACGTCCCAGACAGAGTAGGAAATAGAATAATTTTAACTCATTTATTTTAGAAATAGAGATTCAATCTGAGGAAATCCATTCATAGGATCCATCATATGAACAAAATTAAGGGGGAAAATGATCTGATCATCTTCAGAGAGATGTATATTTCATTACCTTGATTTTGGTGATGGTTTCATGGGTGTACATATGTTAAATTATATACTTTTAAGGGGTGTTGTTGTTTGGTGCCATCGAGTTGTAGACGACTCATAGCGACCCTATGAACGAAAGGCCTGAGCATTGTTCATAGGGTTTCCGGAAGCAAGCCTTTTCGGAAGTGGATGCTGCTACTGCTTCCAGGCTACTTTTGTATACTTTTAAGGGATGTAGAATGGTTTTAATTTGCTTTTCTCAATTTTAATGAGGTGTTTATAAGTATTTGATCATAGAGGCTTAGTGCACATGAGAAAGATTGGGACTGTACAGACTTAGGAGCCATTGAGTAAGGGATGGTTGGACTTAAGTGTTGGAGTTTCTTTCTTATGAAGAATATCAGATGTGGGGAAAGAAGAATCTTAGACCAGGGATCATAGATATGTTATTCATAGGAATGCCTCCTTGATATCAGGAAGGCAACCGTGGTTGTGATGTAAGAGAGATTTGGGCGTAGTTAAGAAGAACCTATTTTCTGATCCTTTTTTGCATCATGTATTAAGAACATCTGAATCTAACTGAGGGAGTGCCTCACAAACAAAATTTGTGGCTCTGTGAGCTAAGCATTGACCTTGAACAAAGAATAAGCCAAGAAGAACATTGTCAGTCACACAGTTTACCCCTGATCCCAGTTAAATCCATGGAGCAAGAATTCCCATGGTGCAATTTCCCACAGATGAGAGGCAACCCTTGTACCTTGGGCCCACTGCGGGACCTGCAGGGGCTGGTAGCCTTCTGAGAATAAGAACATGATCTTATTGGCTGTAGCCCCAAAGGCGATTCCATAAGACCATCGATTACTAAATGTGCCCACGAAGTCCAGAGGCCTGTGAATAAGAAGAACGTTTGTCTATGAGACCAAAAGATGGCTCTGAAATAGTCTCACAGTTCCCCTTCAAAACAGCAATCCCATCCTGAGATAAAGTTATTAGATAGTTAATCACTAGGTTCAATGGAGATTTCCTGCGGTGCTGGACTAGGTGCTATCCATGGCTCACAGGTACCAAAGTGAGGAAGACAAAAATACTTGTCCTTTGGAAGCTTCTAGTTTAGTAGAAGACACAGGCAAGGACATCAATAACTATGACATAAAAGGAGCTCTGGTGACCTAGTGGCAAGAATGCAATTCCAAAGGCACGGGGTTCAAGGCCACCAACCACTCTAGAAGGATGGGTAGTCTCCTCCTGTATGATTAACTGCCTCAAAAATGGATCGATTCTGACTCTGTGGTACACAACAACAAAGCAAGACAGAGGTCAATCTGTAAGAAACACAAGCAGTAAATCTTGAGAGCCCAGAGAAAGGAATGCATCCCAGGCAGGTTTGGGGGACTTAGCTACTTTCTGGGAGATTTATTCCTCCCATTTTCCCTGACAAAGTTTCGGGTGCCTGTGGTTCTGTTGGTACCATGTGACTGTATCTTCTTGGCCACAGCTGATTGAACTCCAGATGCCCACCTAATTTTGGATGAGGCATTCAGACACATGTCTGGTATTTTTAATTTCTAATGCTGAGAATCTGAACCAGTTCTCTGTAAGGTTCTGGTTTGTAAAGTCATGCCAAGTTGGTTTCTAACCAATACGAGGAGCAAGCTGAGGTTATAAGAAAGCAAAGATCCTAGATCAGAAAACAAAGTCATTTAGAGAGGAAAATGGGGAAACGATACTAAAAGGGCTCTGATGACACTAAGGAAGAAAAAAAAAATATCCTACAAACACTCCTCTCAAAAACCCTAGCTTTCATGAGGCCTGTCTTGCTGGTTTCCATGACATCCATGTAATGTTCTAAAGGATGCATCCTTCCCCCCCCCCTGCCCCCTGCTTAATGTGAACAATCTTGAGCATATACCTGTTTCTTGTAAGCAAAAGATTTGACTCAGAGTAAATTGCATTTGGGAAAAAGAGAAAAGGCTTCTCTAAGGAAGTGGTATTTGAGTTCTTGAAAAAAGAACTGAGGATGGTAGTGGGGAGGAAGAGCAAAGAATTGCAGGGCAGGACCTGGGAAGCAGGCTCTGGTTATCTTTCTCATCACTTGCCCTTCAACTTTAAGGCTCAGTTCAAGGAGCACCTCTTCTGAGAATCCTTCCTGGTGGCCATTCCCAGCCAGGCACACTCATCACATTCTTTGTGTCCTCTCAGTACTAAGTTCATGTCCCTGTTTCTGCACATCTCCTTTTGTGCTACTGCTTGCTTAACAAACGATCAGCTCCTCTGGGATGGGAGTTTAGGGCAGTGCTGTGCTGAGTCAGTGTGAAGGATGTATTTGAGGGAATGCATTTTAATGAATTGCTGTGAATTCTAGTCAGAATTTCAGATGTAGTACCACTGAACCCCAGATCAACTCACACGATGATGCCAAAATGGTTCCTCAGGAGGTAAGAAGGGTCAGCTCTCTGGCCACAATGGCCTCTTCTTTGGAGGAAGGACAAGATCAAAATAATGAAAAACTATAGGAAGAAAAGAGGGGAAGATCAGTAGGAATATCAACCCTCTGCACAGACCTCACTAAAAAAGATGTATGTAAAAAGAGCTCTCAAAACGTCTCTGAGTCCTCTAACTCCGGGGTCTGTGTTTCTCATGGTTCTGTTTAAGGACCACCCCTCTTCTTACCTGACCCTTTCTTTTTATGTGATGTCACTCATGCCCACACGGTTAATAGCCACATATCCAAATGCAGAAAACTCACAAACCTGAACCTCCAGCTCTGACCTTGCCCATGAGCTCTAAAACCATATATCTCACTACATAGTTAACATTTCCTTTTGAGGTGTTGAAGCTCTCTCAAGCTCAGTGTAGCGGGTATGAGGCTTATTATTTTCCTGCCTGGTCTGTTCCTTCATCTACCCAGACTTAGATAACTCGATTTCCGTGACTAATAAGTGGCAGGGAATACCATTCTTCTAGATGTGCAAGTCAGAAGCCTAAGAGTCATTATCAACCTCTTCCTCTCCCCACTCCTTTCTATGCAACCCAACACAAAGCTATTGCATGTCCTTTTAGCCTCCTGGCTGTCTGTCTCAAGCTGAGTGCCATCCTCTAGCCTGAGCTAAAATCATCTCTCACCCAGACTCTTCAACAGTCTTCTGACTGATTTCCTTGCCTCCTCCCTTGGCTTCCCATTGTGCTTACTGAGTACAGTTCGCAGGACTCTGCCCAGCCTTGTCTGTTTCCTCTCTGGTTTTCTCCTGGCACCTCACACCTGTGTTACCCCCTCTCTCTACAGAGCTGGGACATGGGCTTTCACATCTGCCTGGAAATACTCTTTATTTCTCCTTTTGCCCAGTTAACTCCAAAATCTTCCTACAGATGTAATTCCATCATGACTTCCTTGAAAAAAGTCTTTTTTAGACTTTCCTAAAAGCCAGTGTCCCTGACACCTAGACTCTTGAAAATCCTCTTTCCAGACCACTGGCTATGTATTTGATACATAATATAGGTGAACAAGTCAAGATTTTAGAAGGAACCTCTACTCCCTGACCTATTTCATTCTCTTTGGGAGCCTTGTAGGAGCAACCCAAATAGAAAGCAAAAACCGTGTGTTATTTTCAACTCCTCCCTCTCTGCAATCTCCTCTATGCAACCCAACACCAGTTCTGTTCTTTTAACCTTCTGAATGTCTCAAGTTGACCACTATCTTCTGTGGTTGTTATGCACCTTCAAGTTGGAATCTACTCATAGCTTCCCCTTCAGCTGGGTTTTATTTCCTCCCCTCCCACTGATTTTTTTTTAATTTTATACTAGTTTATTTATAAAATTCAAATACTTATTTTTGAGAACAGATTCTTTCCATTTCCCTCACCTCTCCCCATCAAATTGTACAACCCCATGATTAATCCTCCCCTCCCCCTGCACATCCTCCTCCCTCTGCTTCCACCCTCCCTCACCCCTCTTGGATCCTTATACTTACTGTACAATAATGGTTTTATATAATATGTATGTAAAATAGTACAACCACTCTGGAAGGCAGTTTAGTGTTTCCTCAAAAAGCCGAACATAGAAATTCCATATGACCCAGCTATTCCACTATTTGGAATATACCCGGAGAAAATGAGAACTGAGGCACGAATGGAGATTTGTACACCAGTGTTCATAGCAGCATTATTTCAGCTGGTTTTTAAAGGTGGTAAATTGCACAGAAGGATATTGCTCATTTTTCTGCCAAGAAGCAGCTGTTGGATCCAATCTGTGTACCTTTTTGTTGAGAGCACAACTCCTTTACCACTAGGCCCCCAGAGTTCCCACTGTCCTCTTTGTTGTTCATTGCTGTTGTGTGACATTGAGTTGGAACCAACCCATAGCAAGTTTTCAGAGGATGAGCTAAAATCACCTCTATGTCAGACCTCTTCCGTTCCCCCTTCACTTCTCCCATACCTTTACTTACTGATGGGATGAGGGAGTAATGGAGGAAGAGCTCCATGTCTACTGAGCCGACACAGGTGCTGTTTAGCTGTCTGGTTCTGGAGAGGGGGGAAAAAGCAAAATTCACACCATTGGTCACTGTGTTGTTTATTACTAAGTGTCATACTCAGGACCCTCGTTTGTGACCCAAGAAGACCACTGCATGTTTAACTTTATTTTAAACTGTATTTTCTCAGAGGCAGTACTGTTCCCTTGTGATAGAACCTCCCCATGTAGATAAATCAACTTTCCTATTTCTTTTTCTAGTCAACCTCCTTGCTGACTGGGACTAATCCCTTCATTTCATGATGCCACAGGCAGAGTAGAGTTGCCATAGGCCCAGAGCTAATAGCAGTCTTTGAGGGAAGGCTTATTTACCAAAAAATAACCTCCTTTTAAGAATTTTACAAAAGCGTTTGGTCATGTAAGCACATAACTAAGGTCCCTTGAACCTTCTCAGGGCTTAGAGAGAAGCTTGCACAAATGAGGGGACTTGAGACTTAAGCTTCATTAACTTCAAAGGGAATCAGGGCATCTCCCTTGATGAAAAAAATGCTATGTAAAATTCTCAAACCAGTATATTTCCTACAGATATGAAGGAAAGAAAGTTTAATCACTTCAACAAATGGGCAGATAAGAAACAAATGAAGCAAAGGTTAAAAGAGAAACACTACAAGAAGAAAAATATCTCAAGGTTATTAAAGCCACCAACAGATAATCAAGACACCCTTCAAAAAGAAATATTGGAGGAAATACTCAAATGATAAAAAAGATGAATCTATGAAGACAAAGAATAATTTAAAGGTACAATGAACAGAAACTTTAGCACAATTTTTTACTTAGAAATAATCCATTGTTTTTAGGAAAGTTACTTGAAATGCCAGTTTTGAACTAAAATGCAGATGACATCATTCCACATGGTGGGAAGAGACTTGGAGGGCAAAATAAATGAAATGATTATCAGGTCCTCATATTCAAGAAGATAAGTAAATTGGTTTTTATCTCTTCCTAGACTTTATAAGAAAAATAGAATTCTGTGTAAGCATGTCAAAAATCCACACTAACTACCCGAGGAAAGAAATAGAAAACTCTCAAACGAGTACACTGCAGACTGTGTGTGAAAATGAGAAAGTGCAATCACTTCAGCACCAGATAAGAAAAAAAATGAAACTAAGATTAAGAAACAAGACAAAAGGAAAAACATCCCAAGAGTATTAAATCACTGACAAAGAAATATAATTGTTTGATAGATACTTAAGATTTCAATTAGTACAAGTTAGAAACTGGTATTTTTTTTCCTTATTAAATTGGGAAATAAGAATGCTACCTGGCATTATTGGCATTTAGAATAAATTAGTATACATTAACTAGTAATCCTGGTATGAGCAGGTGTAACCATTTTTGGCAACTTTGTATTATCTACCCAAAACCTTTAAAATGCATCAATTCCATTTCTAAGAATTCTACTTCTAAGAATATAAACTAATAATCAGAAATCTGCCTGATAATGTGCTCTAGAACACTAACATAGCTAGCTAGCTAGCTAGCTCTCTAGTTCTCTAGCTCTAGCTCTACCTCTATCTATCTCTCTCACCTGTATATTTAATATTCTAAATGTAATATATGGTCATTGCAAGACATTTTCAAAAAATTTGTTATTTGTTGTTTGTTGTTATATGTTGTTATTAGGTTCCATCAAGTCAGCTACAACTCACAGTGTCCCTGTGAGCAATGGATCTGAACCTTGGCATCCTCATCACCTCTGATACACTTGAGCCCGTTGTTACGGTCTCTGTGTCAATCCAATTTGTTAAGGGTCTTCTTCTCCTTCACTGACCCTCCACCTTTCCGATCATGACATCCTTTTTCACAGACTGGTCCCTCTGAACAACATGCCCAAAATATGAGACAAAGCTTCACCATCCCTGCTTCCAGGGAGCACCCTGGTTATACTTTCTCTAAGACATATTTGTTAGGTGCCGTCAAGTTAACTAGGACTCATAACAAGAGATTGAAGACTCACCCTATCCTGTGCTATCTTTACGATCTCTGTCCTGCTTAAGTCCTTTGTGGTAGTCACTGTGTAATTCCATCTCTTTGAAGGTCGTCCTCTCTTTTACTTTGGTGGCTGAGTGGTAAGGAATTGCCCTGTGGACTCAAAGGCTCACAGTTCAAATCTACCAGCTTTCTCTGTGAGAGAAAGATGGGCATTTTCCTCCCATGGGATTTACTGCCACTGGAGAGGGTTAACTATGAGTAGGTTACAACTTGATGGTACATAACAACAAATACTTTTCTTAGGCCTGGTTCTTCCTGAAACTTTGCACAAAGGAAGTGAGATGAAGTTTCGCTTCCCCTTCCACTCTGAGGTGAATTTTTATTACCCTTCAAAACAGAGTGGTTTGTTCTTTTGATAGTCCACAGGATAGTCAATACTCTTCGCCAACACCACAATTCAAAGGTAACGATTATTCTTTGGTCTTCTTCATCTTTATGTAGCACCAACTTTCGGATGCATAGGAAGCAATTCAAAATGCCAAGGCTTGGATCAATCACACCTTAATCTTGATAGCACATTTCCGTGGTGCATCATGACTCTTGATTTCTTGACTGATGCTACCACAAGTGTTGATTATGGATTCAAGTAAATGGCAATCATTGATCATTTCAATCTTTTCTCCACCTGTCATGATGTCCAATGGTAAGGATTTTTTTCTTGATGTTAAGATGTAAAAAATTTAGATGTGTATAAAGTAGAACATGAAAGTCAGCTATTTCTAGTATATGCATTTTTTTTAGTATATTCATTTTTAAGTTACATGGAGTCCCTGGGTGGTGCGAACAGTTTAAGCTAGACTGCTAGCCAAAAGGGAGGAGATTCAGTGCACTCAGTGGTACCGTGGAAGAAAGAGCTGATATTTATTTCTAAAAGATCATGGCCATTAAAACTCTGTGAAGAGCAGATTACTGTGACACACACAGGGTCACCAAAAGTTGGAACTGTCTCCTTGGAAACTGGTGTTTCCCTCCCTCTTCTTTCCTTTATATATATACACTTTATATATAATGTGTATATACTTTATATATAATGTGTATATACACATTGTGTAAGTTTTATATATACACATATATTAATATGTATAGTACAGGTGTTTTATACACACACGCACACACACAGAGTCTAGGATATATACACACATACATATTGCATAGGGGCCTAGTGGTAAGAAGCTGTGCTGTAATCCAGCTGCTCAAATCCACCAGCTGCTCTGTGGGAGAAGAATGAGCCATCTTGTTCCATGTGATTAACTGCCTCTGAAAATCTGCTGGGGGGTCAGCTATGGATCAGTTCCTACTTGATGGTATATGACAACAACAACAACACCACAGGTTTTTACACACACACATATTGTATAGGTTATATATATATATACACACACACACACATTGTATAAGATCATAGTATAGTATAGTATAGTATAGAATAGATTAATGATGGCTTAGAAATGTGTTTACACTAAAAGTGGTCTCTAATTTGTGAGGTATTGGAGATACAATGAACTGTACTTAAGACCATCTTCTGTTGTTGCACGTCTTCCTATGATTCCTGCACTTCTATGTAAATAATGCCTGCCTTGCATGTTTACCAATCATGCCTTCCTGCTCTGAGGTATATTTGTACATGCTTCTTAGCCAATATTTTTTCCCAGTTAGCAACACTTTAAAAAATACTGCTAAGAAGTGAGAGCCATGGTTAGCAACCAAACGCAGAGTGTGGTTAGCAAACAAAGCCAGAAAGTGTGTGTTGTTTACATACAAATATAGTCATATACGGCAACATGAAATTTCTGGTGTTATCAGTCTCAGATGGTCAATTTTATAATTTATTGTTCAAAACATTTCTAGCTTTAAAAAGATACTTATTATAAGATGCAATGTGATGAAAACGAAAAGATTATTTGACTTATATCTAAATCAACTTCTGACAGAGTTGTCTGACTGGTAACTCTGCCTGAAGTCAGAAACTGCCCGTTTACTGCTAAGTGAAAAGAAAACAAAAAAAAATGGATAATACAATATGATCCCAAGTCGTTAAACTTGTTGACAGTTGGTCAGTTCTGACTCACAGCGGTCCTATAGGATTCTTATAAGGTTTCTAGGGTTGTAATCTTTACAGAAGCAGACCGCCATGTCTTTTTCCTGTGGAAGGGTCTGGTGAGTTCAAGTAGCCAACATTTGAGTTAGCAGTGAGCACTTAACCAATGCATGACTTCGGAATGGTGAAATTGGAAGTTATTCTATTCTGTCTGTGGTTATTTTCTGAAATTTTCAAGTACAGTACAATACAGATGTGTTGCTTGAGCTGACCTGTTCTCCCTACCCCCTCCTGCTTAGAACACCTGACACCAAGTGTTGCTGTTATTATGTGTCATCGAGTCACTTGCAACTCATAGCAACCCTATGCACAAGAGCCCTAAATCCTGTTCTATCCTGTGCCAACTTCACTGTCTCCCACACACCTACTCCCACTATCTCAATCACTGAATCAATCCATCTCATCGAGTGTCTTCCTCTCCTGTGCTGTCCCTCCACTCTCCATGATGTCCCTCTCCAAGGACTGGTCCCTCCTTGCAACATGCCCAAAGTTTGTCAGACAAAGCTTCAGAATCCTTGACTCCAAGGAGCATTCTGGTTTCACCTTCTTCAGGACAAACCTGTTTGTTCTCCTAGCCGTCCTTGGTATATTCCACACTCTTCTCCAGCATCACAGCTCAAAAGCATCAATTCTCTTTCTATCCTCCCTAGTCACTGTCTAGCTCTCCTATGCATAGCACACAATTGCCCAGATCAGGTGTACCTTAATCTCCAGCCTGACGTCGTTGCTCTTCAGTTGTCTCTGACAGCTGACCCCAAGGCAACTCATCTCTTGATTTCCTGGCTGCTGGTACCAAGAGTGTTTACTGCAGAGCCACAGTCAACTAAGCAAACTAAAACTGTTAACAATCTCAATCTCTTCACCATCCATTCTGATGCTGACACCAAGTAGCAGGCAGTAAAC